GTCATATTTCATTTCAACCCCTAGGACAGCATATGAACATAGTAGGTGTTCATAAATGTTTATCAAGTAAATAAATTACATGGAAGAAAAACATAGTGTTATCTTTGTATCCTGCAGGACAATGGTCAGTGAGTACATCTTTTGCATATTTTATGGTTTGTTTAGAAACACAATAAAAAAGAAAAGGAATACCACTACTTCTGACTTTATTGGTCAGCTTTGCATAGTGGGGTTTTTTCCCCCAGACATATCAAATTTGAAATTGTCATCAATAAGTGCTCTGTTGCCTAATGAAATTCTTCTGCATTTTCTTGTACCCTCAGATGACAAAGGTTTTTTCACCTGAATTTGTGAAAGATTTGCCATCTAAATTTTTTATTTTTCAAGGTAAAAGTAGCTTTAATTTTTTTCTGTTTATAAGAATGACACACGTTCATCTTAAAATTTAAATTCAATGACTGGGTATGCTAGCTTACACCTATAATCCCAGTGCTTTGAGAGGCCGAGATGGGAGGATCACTTGAAGCCAGGAGTTCCAGAGTAGCCTGGGCAAAATTACTTTAAAAAAAAAAATTTTAATTCAATAGGCCAGGTGTGGTGGCTTGTGCCTGTAATCCCAGCACTTTGGGAGGCTGAGGTAGGAAGATTGCTTGAGTCCAGGAGTTGGAGACGAACCTAGGCAACATAGTGAGACCTCATCTCTATAAAAAAATTTAAAAATCAGCCAGGTGTGGTGATGTGTGCAGTAGTCCCAGCTACTTGGGAGGCTTGAGGAAGAGAATCATCTAAACCCAGGAGGTCAAGGCTGCTTTGAGCTGTAATTGTGTTACTGTACTCCAGCCTGGGTAACAGTGAGACCCTCAACTCAAAAAATATATATATATTTATATATAGCTTGTTTTGTGTTCTGATACCTTTAATCTTTTGAGTTGAAGTCTCACTTCATCGCCCAGGCTGGAGTGCCATGGCACACTCATGGCCACCCCAGCGTAGACCTGCTGCTTCTGCCTCAGCCTTCCAAGTAGTTGGAACTACGGGCATGTAATACCACTCTAGCTAATTTTTTAAAATTTAGAGACAAGGTCTTGCCAAGTTGCCCTAGCTAGTCTTGAACCTGCGGGCTCAGGCTGTCCACTTGCCTCGGCCTCCCAAAGTGCTGGGATTACAGGCCGAGTCACTGAGCCTGGTCTAATTTTTTCTTAAGCTTTTTTTTTTTTTTTTTCTCAGAGACACGGTCTCACTATATTACCTAGCTGGTCTTGAAGTCCTGGCCTCAAGAGATCCTTCTGCCTCAGCTTCCCAAAGTGTTGAGATTACAGGCATGAGCCCCAGCATCCATCCAGTAATTCATTTTTAAGTAACAAAAAAGCTAAATGCTAACATGAATAACAGTTTGAAAAATAACTTTTCTAAAAAAATTAAGAGTGGTATCTTATATTTTTTCAGATCTCTTTCATGTCTGGCTTAATAGAAGGTAGCTATATTCAGGCATCTGCTTCCTTGCTCAGTGTATTGCCATCAATATCCAAGTTGTGTAACCTCTGGAAAACGCCATCGTATACACATGAGAGAAAGAGAGTAAAGAAGTCAGAGAACATGTTGGTATAATTATGAAAATAGTTTGAGCTTATAAATCCCCGGAGGGGCCTCAGGGTCCTCATACCATACTTTGAGAATTGCTGCTCTGTTAAAGAGACAAAGCCTAATCTACACTCTGGAATTGATGGAATTCAAGACTAGAAAAACAAAAGAAACACTTGGTTTACACAATAGTGTAATAAATTCATTCCATAAATTTTCACTGAAACTGATCATGACCAAAAATAAGAATAAAAATTCAGACTAGATTTTGCACATTTTGATAAATGCTTTTAAGGATGCAAAGAAGTGAGAATGAGATATCATGGGAGGCCTCTGGGAAGAAGTGGCATTTAAGCCAAGACACAAGTGATAAGAAGGGGAGCATGTCCTCTGAACCAGAAAGTACTTAGAGATGCCTTCAGTTATGTATTTGCTTGTTTATTATCTACTCCCACACTAGGTAATAGACTCCATGAGGACAGGGCCTCTGTCTTGCTTGCCCATTGTTATATTCCCAGCACCCATTAGGTGCCTGACACACAGGAAAAGCATGATCAAAGATTTCTGAATGAGTGAAAAAAATGGCTGAAGAATAATGAGCAAGGGGAAGGTGGCTAAAAGAGGTTAGGTAGACAGGGCACCGATCACAGGAGGTCCCATGGGCCCTCAGGAGGTTTGTTTATTCTAATGCTAGGAAGTATTTAAAGCAGGAGAAAAGCATTTCCCACTTTATGTTTTGTCAGTTTTTCAGCTACATGGAAAATGGATTCGATGGGAACAGTGGCAGAAATGAAACCGGTGCAGCTTTTGTAGGACTTAAGTTGAGCAGTGATGGCCTGAACTAAGGTAACTATGGTACAAATGGAGAACAGAGAACAGAATCAAGGCAGACTTCAGCAGAACACGCTGACCTGTGCCTCTAGTTCCAGCTTTTTTGGGAGACTGAAATGCGAGGGTCACTTGAGCCCAGGGGTTTGAGACCAGCCTGGGCACCATAGCAAGACCTCATATCAAAATAAAATTTTTAAAAAATCGAAGTATGCTTTGGAGATAGCATTGACAACACTTGCTAATGTAATTTATTTGGTGAAAGAGGAGAGGGTGAGTTAAGACAGCACCTAGATTTTCTTCTTGAACACCTGAGCAGTACACCAAGGTATTGAGATGAGAAAGCTGTGGGGCCTGGTAGAGGAGACGAGGTCTGGAGGCAAAAATCAAGGGTACTCTTCTGAATATTTTCAATTTGAGATGTTTGTGTAACACCTAAGAGGACATGTCCATTAGGCACTGTGGTATTCAAGCTTGGAATTCAGGGAAGAGTTCTGATGAAAAAAAAAAAAAAAGGTTGGGAATCTCTTGATTCTAGGATCCAGATGGTAAAAAGAAAAAAATAGGGTGGGGGAAAGGTTAAAAAAAAAGTTGAGAATCATAGATAAAGACATTTAAATCCATGCGAATGGAGGCAGTCACACAGGGAAAGAAAGAGAAGAAAAATGTGGTCCCAGGGTCAAGCCTTGGTTGGTGGAGGAAAGGCGGCCAGAAAGGGGAGTGGAGAATGGACAGAGAGGTTTAGAAGGAAAACCAAGTAGAATAGGGATGGACGCTCGTGATGTGCCGTGAGAACATGCAGAGTGGCTGTGAGGACAGCTCAGGGAGAGGAGGGGAGAGAAGCCTTGGGAAAGAGAGGAAAGGCTCTATCCAAGTCTTAAGATCTGTAGGAGTAATCCTAGCCCATATCCTTCTAGGAGATGGGGTCCTTAATTCCTTATTATCAAGATAATGAGCTGCTCATTATAGAAAATGATTATTTAAAAACGATAAGCCAAAAAGAAAACCACCCCGAGAAGTCCATTTCATTGTCTTCCTATACATTTTTTTCCTTACTTTAAACTATATTTTAGGACTTGTTTTGTTTCTGCTTACCACATTAAACACTTCCCCATGACACAATTTTCTTAAATGACTAGTGTTTCATAATGGAATCAAATAGCCATTCCTTTCATGTTCCGCGATTATTTCCAGATTTCAAATCTATACGTGATACTTTGAAACACTTTTTTTTTTTTTACACGAATCTTTAAAAAAAAAAAAATCTCTGGTAGACTGTCCGGCGGCTTCCTACGCGGGTTTCGCGGTTACGAGCTCTGCCTTGGATTGCTTAGAACAGTCCCGTCCCCATGGAGGCGGCGTGGAGCCCGTGGGGACGGCCCCGGAGTGGCTCTGCGGACAGGGCCGGGCGCCCCCTACCCTGGCTGGCCCCCGGCCCGCAGCATCCGGCGGAGAGCGGGTGCTCGTCCGAAACGCAGACGCTCAGCTCCCGTCCCAGACCTCCCGCGGGCGAATCTGCATCAGGACGAGCCCCGCAAAGTGCGAGAAACCGCGCCCACATTAGAATCCCCCGGGGCGCTCCCAAATGCCCACTGCTCAAGCCACGCTCCACACCCACCGGTCAGTCTGCGCGCGCGAGGCCAGACACAGCCTTCTCGGGGTCCCAGCGCGCGGCCACTTTAGAGACCCGGCGCCAGGGCGGTGGTGTGGAAGGAAAGGCGTGCGCGGCTGGGGGCGGGGGAGGCGGATCGGGCGCCAGGAGCGGGAACCCGAGAGACGCGTCCCCAGCACCGCCCGTCC